TAGGGTTTTAGGGTTTAGGGTGCTTAGCCCTGCAACGGTCTCCTGGACTCCGGAGGAATCCACTCGAGGACCTCCGTGTTGCCTGTGCCCGCGCATGCACATGCAAGCCCGATCCCTTAAACCCTAAAGCCCCGGACTTTTAAACCAAAACCCTTAAACCCTGAAACCCGAAACCCATAAATCCTGAAAGTTAACCATACTAAGGCAGGCCATCCCTTTGCTTGCTGGCGACGGGATCCTCATAGTAGCCCCAGGGATGATCCCTACTCCTTCCCTCGCTACTGGACTCAACGCTTAACCCTGGATGCTATGGTAGCTTCCATCTTCTTTTGCAATCTCCCATATGAGCAGTAATCTCAACTCCTAGCGTCCTCTGAATAATCCATATAGTAGCCTCCCAGAAGGTCCGTTGAGACTAAAGCTCAGGAAGTTACATCAGCCCTAAACTCTAGACTCTAAATCCTAAACACTACACCCATATCCCTAAACCCTAATCCCTAAAACCTAAACCCTTATCCCTAAACCCTAATCCCTAAACCAACCCTAATCCTTAAACCCTAAACCCTAATCCTCATCCCTAAACCCGAATCCCTAAACCCTACATCCTAAACCCGAGGCCTATGGTGCGATTGAAGCCCGGAAGAGGGGGCAGCGCCCTGGTGCTCATGGCACAGAAGCATGACCCTCTTCTTGAAGTGTAGGGTTGAGGGTTTGCGGTTTAGGGTTTAGGGTTTGGAGTTCAGGGTTTAGGGCTTAGGGTTTAGGGTTTGGGATTTGGGGCTTCGGGTTTAAGATTCAGTCAGGTTTAGGGTTTAGGGCACATCTTCTTCCACCTGCTGATCTGGCGTGAGTTTGGGGTTTGGGGTTGCAATCCTTTTTTGGGAGGGTGGCTTTTTCCTGTATGAAACGTCCTGGCGGTCTGGGGCAACTGGCGCAACTTATAGTCCCAGAGTTTGGGATTTAGACCAACACGGTGTTGGCTTCTCATTAAATTCTGGCAGCTTCTAGAGAAACTCCAAAACTCGCACGCCGAAGTTAGACAAGTGTGCACTGTCTTCGAATCACTGTAAGCACCTGAGGTCACAGCCACGGCAGCTCGAAGTGAGCGGTGCAGTTCTCTGGGACACCTCACTGTACTGGAACCCCCTTTAAACTTTACACTCATAATGAGCATTGTATCTTCAATTGGCGAGGTTGCTGGCCTGACCACCGTTGTGACCAATTCTTGGGTTAGAATACACCTTTCGACTTATATCAAACTATCTTTGTAATATACCCCAAGGAACAATAGCCATGGCAGCAGCGGCTTTAATGGTCGTGGGGTCGTGGTACTAGGAGCAGCAGGAGGATGAGGAAGCAGCAGCAGCAACAGCACATTCCGACCAAAAAGGTCGGCAGCAGCATGGGCGATAGTGGCTAGCATCTCGCAGCGGCGGTTATCGGCCAGGAATGCGACAATCAACCAGAAAAAAATGCATACGGATTGTCGTTGGTGAACTGTGTTGACGTGAAACCCTCAAATCCTCCTGACTTCCCTCACACGTGCGAAACTGCGGTCGGACTATGGTACAGCCAACCTTCTGTGGCCGCAGCAGTCGTACCGGAAGGGGAACAACTCGCCGTTCCGGCAAGTCCTTGGAAGATTCCCACTGGGCTAAAAAGGGATTGTATAACGATTACATAGGGCTATATAGCTACGTCTGGAGTATATGGGTGGTTGTCAAAATTATGGTCCTTTCTTGGGTACCCTAGCTGCTAGGTGCCGTCTTACAAAAAAAAACGGGATCCAAACCCTAATCCCTATTAATGAAGAGATTATAGGGCTCTGTACCCTAGACCCCTAAACCCTAAACCCCTAAACCCCCTAAAACCCTAAACCCTTAAACCCCTAGACCCCTAAACCCAAAACCCTACACCCCTAAACCCCTAAACCCCTAAACCCCTAAACCGCGTGGCTCCGGCATCCAGGGTGGCGGGGG